ATATGTGTGCAACTTTGTGCTGCTAAAAGTACTGCCACATATTTATGTCCTCCAGATTGACAGCGACAGGGCCAGGACTAAACTTTTAACCTGAAATGCCTTTCTATGGAGTTCACTGGGGCTGGAAGGGAGACCCAGGATTTGGTACACTGCTGTCCCTTCCAGGCATATGAGCCTGAGACATAGCATCAGTCAACCCCACTGGCCTCCACCTTATGCAGGATGCGCTTCATAAAACCTGCATTTCCTATAAGACCACACAGGGACCCCAATCCTTGGACCACAGCTGCCAAGAGGAACTGAAACAAAGTGAGTCACAGAAGGCAGATGGAGAGTCACATTTTGTACTGCAAACCCAGAACGCACTCTTTAGCAAATCCTCATGTTGGTTTTGTACTCATTTTCCCCTTGGCTTCTAAACTCTTTAGACTACACCCAGGGTTTCATTACTGTTGTTAATTGATTAACAACAGAAACTGCTCTCAGTTACTTTGTGCGCTGGATATTAAAAAAAAACCCACATAATTTCAGACTTACAAAATGTTGCTTAAATAGTGAAGAATTCCTGGACACCCTTCCCCCCCCCACCTCAAATGTTAGCATTTGCTCTATTTACTTTATCTATCAATCATTTTTTTCTTTTAACATTTAAGATGTTGTAGATCCGATGCCCTTTATCCCTCAGTACTTGTGTATATTTCCAAAAAGTCTGCCTACAAATCCGGCCTCTCAAAACCACAAAGCAATCATCTAAATCATATTAACACTGATGCAATACGTTAGTTACCTAATCAATAAACCTTACTCAGATGTTGCCAAGTGTCCCTGTAATGTTCTTTTTAGCCCAAGAAAATCCACGATTAGGTGTTGCATTCCCTTTGTCACGTGTCTTGACATCTGGAACAATTCCTGAATCCTTCTATTTCATGACATTGACATTTTTGAAAGGAACACACCTCCGTTTGGTTTGTCTTCCTCATGGTGAGATTCAGGTTATGTACTGTTTTTAGGAATTCCACTGAAGACATGACGAGTTCTTCTCAATGCCGCACAGAAGAGACATGCTGTCAATTAGTCCTAGTAAAAGGTAGTGTCTGCTGGTTTTCTCCACTGTAAAGTCACTCTTTTTTTGGGGGGGGGGTGCCTCTCACTGTGTGGCCTCTCCCGTTGTGGAGCACAGGTTCCAGACGCGCAGGCTCAGCGGCCATGGCTCACAGGCCCAGCTGCTCTGCGGCACGTGGGATCCTCCCGGACCAGGGCACAAAGCCGTGTCCCCTGCATCGGCGGGCTGACTCTCAACCACTGCGCCACCAGGGAAGCCCTGTAAAGGCACTCTTTTATCCTTGTGATCAATGGGTCTCTTGTGAGGAGATACTCTGAGACTAGGCAAATATCCTGTTATGAATCATCCATTGATGATTCTCGACTGACTCAAGTACTGTTATGGTTGCCAAATGGTGGCATTTTAATTCAGTCATTCCTTCTACCATCATGAGTTGGCTCTCAACTGTAAGGAGGAGCTTGCTTGTTCGCCTTATTTATTGATATTGGCATGGACTCGCGAATTCTTACTTTATTCAGTTTGTTATAATTCTTTACTACCATCTTTTATTTTGACACTCAAATTGTCCCAGATATCTGCCAGGTACTTTATGTAAGATATTTCATATAATTCTCAAAGCAACTCTATGTAGTGGGGATTATGATTATCCCTATTTTGCAGACAAAGAAGTTGAAACTCAGAGAGATTAACTTTTGTAATGTTTAATTGGTGGAGTTTCCAAATTTTGATGCCAAATGCTTGATATATATGTACATATACAGGTATATGAATTCCGCCCCCCCCAATCCTCCTGATGTCCCTGCCATATAGGAATTATCCCCTCCCCTCCTATTTTAAGATGGGAAAATAGGCTCAGAGAGGTTAAGTAATCAGTCACAAAAGCTGTGATGAGAATTCGGAGGCCTAGTTGAAATCCTATGTTGTTCTTCAGCAGACCACGTTGCCCCTTTAAGCTGTTTTTCCTTTTGCAGATGGGATCCATAAGCATCTAGTCTTATTTAATTCTACTCAGGACAGAGGAGGTAAAACTGTGGCTTTTTTACTCATTGCCTGCATTTGTAACTATTTTTGCTTTGGCTAAAAGCTACCCTGATTCTAATCAGCACCAAAGCTAGGAAGTTGTGGTGATTTAGATCTTGCCAGAATCCTTGGCGCTCTTGGAAGTTCATGGCAATTGAGTCACTAAAAAATTTAATCTCTCAAGGTGAATGTGTTCATTCCAGTTTTTAAGGAAGACTTTGGTGAGGTCGTTCATCATATAGTCACCCTTGGATTTATGGTCTATGTAAATACGGATTTTTCCATTACTATGCTTGTGTTAATCACAGCACAGTGAAGAAACTTCTCATTCATGAATCTGTAGGCCAAGGAGAGTTGCTAATAGCTACCTAAGGAGAACCCAGACATTTTTGATATTTAATTGAAAAGGAAATGTGTGTATTAAAGCATCAATCATGTCCAGCTTTGACCCCAGGTGACCTCAAAATGAGGTTTGAGGACCACCAGACTTACAATCACCCCAGATGCCCATTACAAACACAGAGTCTGTTACTCTAGGAGGTGGATCGAAAAAGATCTTGTTGCAATTTATGTCAAAGAGTGTTCTGCCTATGTTCTCCTCTAAGAGTTTTATAGTGTCCAGCCTTACACTTAGGTCTTTGATCCATTTTGAGTTTATTTCTGTGTATGGTATTAGAGGATATTCTAATTTCATCCTTTTACGTGTAGCTGACCAGTTTTCCCAGTGCCATTTGTGGAAGAGACTGTCTTTTCTTCATTGTATATTCTTACCTCCCTTGTCATAGATTAATTGACCATAGGTACGTGGGTTTATTTCTGGGCATTCTATCCTGCTCCATTGATCTATATTTCTGTTTTTGTGCCAGTACTATACTGTTTTGATTACTGTAGCTTTGTAGTGTAGTCTGAGGTCAGGGAGCCTGATTCTTCCAGCTGTTTTCAAATGGGACCTAATTAAACGTAAAAGCTTTTGCACAGCAAAGGAAACCATAAAGCCCACAGAATAGGAAAAAATATTTGCAAAGTGACTGACAAGAGATTAATCTCCAAAATATATAAACAGCTCATGTAGCTCTACGTCAAAAAAACAAACACCCCAATCAAAAAATGGGCAGAAGATCTAAATAGACATTTCTCCAAAGAAGAAAAACAGATGGCCAAAAAGCACATGAAAAGATTCTCAACATCACTAATTATCAGAGAAATGCAAATCAAAACTACCATGAGGTATCTCACCTCACACCAGTCACAATGGCCATCATCAAAACGTCTACAAACAATAAATGCTCAAGAGGGTGTGGAGAAAAGGGAACCCTCCTACACTGTTAATGGAAATGTAAATTGGTACAGCCTCTGTGGAGAACAGTATGGAGGTTCCTTAAAAAACTAAAAATAGAACTACCATATGATCCAGCAATCCCACTTCTGGGCATATATCTGGAGGAAACCATAATCCGAAAGATACATGCACCCCAATGTTCATTGCAGCATTTATTTACAATAGCCAAGACATGGAAGGAACCTAAATGTCCACCGACAGAGGAATGGATAAAGAAGATGTGGCACATTTATACAATGGAATATTAATCAGTCATAAAAAGAATGAAATAATGCCATTTGCAGCAACATGGATGGACCTAGAGATTACCATGCCAAGAGAAGTAAGTCAGACAGAGAAAGACAAATATCATATGATATCACTCATATGTGGAATCTAATTAAAAATGATATAAATGAACTTATTTTCAAAACAGAAACAGACTTATAGATTTTGAAAACAAACTTATGGTTACCAAAGGGGAAACGTGGGGGGAAGGGATAAATTAGGAGCTTGGGATTGACATACACACAGTGCTATATGTAAGATAGATAACCAACAAGGACTACTGTATAGCACAGGAAACTCTACCCAATATTCTGTAATAACCTATATGGGAAAAGAATCTGAAAAAAGAATGAATATATGTGTAACTGAATCACATTGCTGTATACCTGAAACTAACACAACATTGTAAACCAGCTGTACTCCAATAAAATTATAAAAACAACAACAACAACAATACAAACACAGAATCTGGGGCCTTGTCCCAGACCCACTGAATCAAAATTCTTCAGTTTTAGCAAGCTTCCCAGAGAACCCTGATGCTCACTAAAGTGGAAACGGATGCTAGGGCCTCTGACGTTGTTCCTGCGTACTCACAATGATGCTGGCTTTATACCAGCAAAGTCAGCCTTTAGGCTACTTGACTTCTGCCTTGCCTCTTGCCCACAGCAGTTATCAAGGGAAGGGTAATCCGCCAGTTTCACTGCCCTTGGGGAATGAGCCTGGGGTGGGCTCCCATCTCCTCCCTCCTGCAGGAAGCAGGCAGCAGAGGGAATGCATCATCCCTCAAGTACCCTGATCAACATCAAGAGTTCTCATCTTCTAAGGGCAACTTCCCTTGGAGATCAAATTTACAGGAGTGAAAAATCGAATTGACCTACATCATGTGTTTAAGCCAAGCCATGTGAGTCACAGGACATTGCACTCTGACAAGTTATGGCTTTGGTGTCTGCCCAGGTGTGTTCATTTTGGCCATGACTGGAGACGAAAGTGGGGAGAAACACATGATATGCAGGGCTGTCCTTTACGGGGGCAATGGGCAGAGCCCACACAGCCCTAGGTGCTTCCCAAGACTGGTAGACTGGACACACTAATGAATATGAAACAATGCAACAAACATCTAGAAACTGCCAACTTTTCCCAAGGTATTGAAGAAATCCACATTGTAATACTATATTATTGATTTTGGAGGATGGCCAATTTTATCAAGTACATTAGTAAGTGTCATTTCATTTAATGGAAACAACCTTAGAAGCATTCTTAGGTCCATTTTACAGATGAGGACACTGACACTCAGAGAACATAAGTGATTACCTCAAGGTCCAGTTGTTTGGAAATGGCAGAACCAGACTTCATGTCAGGTTTTCTGACTCCAAATCCAGTGCTCCTTCCTCCTGGGAAAGGATCAGACAATCAAGGGGGAGAAAGGACTGCACAGAAACCACGCTGAAGCTTTGTCTAGAGCTCAGGACTTCAGCTGTAAGTGAAAGAATTCAATTCCAACTTTGGAGCAAAATAAGAGTTTATTGGCTTATGTAACAGAAGAGCTCAGGTACGTCTGGACTCGACACGGAGTGCTGGTATTCTTTTTTATTTTAATTTTTTGATTGAAGTATAGTTGATTTACAGTGTTGTGCTAATTTCTGCTGTACAGCAAAGTGATTCAGTTATACATATATATATACACATTCTTTCTGTTTTTAATATTCTTTTCCATCATGGTTAATCATAGGCTATTGACTATAGTTCCCTGTGCTATACAGTAGGACCTTGTTGTTTACCCATTCTATATATAATAGCTTACATCTGCTAACCCCAAACTCCCACTCCATCCCTCTCCCAACCCCCTTCCCCTTTGGCAACCACAAGTCTGTTCTCTATGCCTGTGAGTCTGTTTCTGTTTCATAGACAGGTTCATTTGTGTCATATTTCAGATCCCACATATAAGTGATATCATATGGTATTTGTCTTCCTCTTTCTGACTCCACTTAGTATGATAATCTCTAGTTCCGTCCATGTTGCTGCAAATGGCATTATTTCATTCTTTTTTATGGCTGAGTAGAATTCCACTGTATACATGTACCACATCTTTATCCATTCATCTGTCATGGACCTTTAGGTTGTCTCCATGTCTTGGCTACTGTGAACAGGGAGTGCTGGTATCGTCTCTCTTGGCACCACTTCGAGGCTTTCCAATTCGTAGGCAGACTTCCCCAACAAGGAGACAAGAGGGCCGCCAGCAGTCCTCACAGCTTCAAATCCAGAAAGAGAAAGTCTCTCATCACGACAGTCTAATAAATCCAGAAGTTGGTTCTCAGACTTCATTAGGTCCTGGGCCCATTCCTGGATCAACCCATTACTTTGGCTGAGTGGATTTGATGATCTCATAGGACTGGCTAGGGTCACAGGTTCACCACTGGATCCAGGGTAGGTTGGTGTCAGTCTACCCAAAATCCTGGGACCTGAGAGTAAGGGAGGGGTGGCTCCCCAGAGAAAAACTGAGGTGCTGTTAGCAGAAGAAGGGGTAATGGCTGCCAAACAGGCAAAAAACAGCTATTCCCCTTGGGGTGGAAAAGATGAAGAGCATTTGAGCCTGAGGGAACCCCGGGGGGGCACAAGTGGGAGACAGCACCTTGCACTTGGGTGTGGACAGAGCAGGTGCCCAATAGATATTGATAAATGAATGAATGAATGTTGGTTCAGACTGTTGTAGAATAATGAAGAGTGGGGGCCTCTGGGGCATAGGATACATAAAGGAACATTGGAGAAAAGATGCTGGGGCCATACTGAGAAGCACCCTGTGTGCCATGCTGCTTTTTTTTCAGGCCATGAGAGCTTCTGAAGGGTTTCTGATCAGGGGTGTGCCATGGTCAAAATTTGGAGGAGGAAATAAACCTTGAAAATTTTAAAGTGCTATACTAAGTGAGAGCATTATCTCCTGTGGGCCAGGAGTGCCCTGCTTGCCTGTGAAGGTTTTCCTGTGAGATGTGGAATCCCTTTATCTGAAAGTCCTTGAGACAAGAAAACTGTGAGCACGTCATGGGGAAGGGTAGCAGCAGGCTATCCGAGCCTGATTAGATACACCCGCACCCTTTCAGGGCCTCCAAGTATGTAGTCCTACCCAGATGAAGGTGAAGGTCTGAACTCCAAGACACTGGAGTTTCTCAGACTCACATTTGCGGGATGGTTGAACAGGTCTGGGTGTGGCCCTCAGGGTGTGTGAACACCTTTCTTAACCAAGGAGCACTTGATGCCATGCAATTCCATGTCATGATTAGGCGTGATTTATGGGCATTCTCTATCACAACTGATTGGGGGTCCTTGACGAGAATTCCAGGATGAAATGTCTCAACACTAATGTACCCCCGGGATGAGCCAAATGGTCAAGAGACGACTTGTATCAACTGGGGTTGGAAGCGTATGGGCAGAGGGCTCGGAACGACACGATTCCTCCCTATTCTTATGAGCAGTCATGGCTGCTTCTGGTCCAGAATGGAGAACAAATGTCAGAATTATTAAAAAAAAAAAAAAAAAAAGCTGTGCTTGGTGAGTTCAGGCATCAAGGCTCCTCTTTTGCTGAACTCATTCCAGGAGTGATCACACTGGAGCAGTGCTTGCCCATTTTATATTGCAATGACTATTTCAGAACTTCTGCTTGCTTTCTGAAGCAACTTTTCTAAGAGGTGAACTACTAGAATCTCAACCGATAAATACTCAACATAAAGGATGAGGTCTCTCAAATAAAGAGGAGTAGCAGACAGAGTTCATGCTAAAAAGTCATTTGAGGATGGGGGCGAGGGGACGGCACTTACCATGCTTCCCTGATATGACGAATTCACCTGCTGTGACCTGGATACCTTGTCCCAGGATGAAGCCCTGGCACTGTGGATTTCACTAGGTCCTGGGCCTGTTCCTGAACCAACCAATCACTTTGGTTGGGTGGATGTGATGATCTCATAGCCCCAACCAGGGTCACAGGTTCACCACTGAATCAAGGATGGATGTCAGCCCACCCAACCCCATGGAACCTGAGGGTGGGGCTCCCCAAAGAAAAACTGAGGTGCTTTTATCAGAAGAAGGGGTACTGGCTGCCAAACAGGCAAAAACAACAAGGATTCCCTCCTCCCACCAAAGGGTGAGGGAAGTGAAGGACATTTGAGGGCTGGAGCTCCAGAAACCTTCCCCAGAGTTGGGACAGTGTGGGAGTTAAGAGCATCTGCCCACTGGGGTTGAATTTCTGCTCTGTTACTCATTAGCTCAGTGACTTTGAACAGGTTACCCAACCTAATATTTGGCTTCCTCCTCTCCAGGATAGGGTACCAACAGAACCTATTTCATAGGATCGATCTGAGGATTAAATGAGATGATGCACATAAGGCATTTAGTATAACGGAAGTGCTCCATAAATGAAACTGACTAGGTCACTGTCATCTTGACATGCAACAGTTCAACCCCACTCCCTGGGGGAGACCTGGGTGAGAGCCTCACTCTGTAAGCAGACCCTAGTGGAAGTCAGATGTTTTCTGTGTCCTAAAAGCACCCACCCACCGTCTGCTTTGAGTTCTCATGCTCTTTCCTCAAGCTCTGAATTTTTAAGATCTCATGAAGTTCAAGAGGGGGGTTAAAATGCCAAAATTCTCTATTTTGGAGCATTAACAGATCACGCTAGAAACACTGGCTCTCCCACAAGAAGACACATGCTTGTGGGATTTCTCTGGCAGTCCCATAACAGCCTGAAGCTCTGTCGTCGGCAGCTGGATTGGGGTGGGGAAAGGGACCGTTTTCAAATTGTTAAATTAAAAAAAAATTGCACATTATATATTGCCAGCCAGAAAAACATGGCTGAGCCCTCTGCAGGGACTGCCTCCTTGCTGTGTCCTCAAGGATGCTGGGCCAAAGATTGCAGCTGGAGTCCCTGGGGCTGCCCAGAGAACCAGGAGTGTCCGCACAGAGCTCCAGAAGCGGGGAGCTTTTCTCCCAAGATGAGGGAGCAAAGGGCTCCTTGGAGAAAACAAAGTTTTTCATCAAAAAACTGCCTGCTCTTACTCCAGCCGCTGTAAAACCAAGCTGTTTGTCAGAAATTGTACTTTCTGAAGGGCTCACTACTGCAAAGGCCGTAAGGAGGTGGTTGATATAGTTCCAAGGAGGGAGGAGGCTGATGTGGGGGATTGAAGAACCAAGTCAAAAATGGAAGGAAAAACTTCCATCCAATTAAAAAAGTTTACGCATTTATGTAAAATCACGTGTGCATATCTATAAAGAAAATTTAAAAAGAAACCGTAAGAGCGTATGGGCTCTAGAAGCAGACAGACCTATGTTGGAATTTCAGTTTCACCACTTCTTCACTTGTGTGACCTCCCTGATCCTCAGTTTCCTCATCTATGAAATTATAGTATTCCCTTCACATGTTTTGAGGATTCAGTGAGTTAAGGCATGTATAGCAGTGTCTGGTACCCAGTAAGATAGTGATAAATGTTAGCTAATATTGTCATTTATTGAGAGACGACAGAAGGCTAAAGGCTAAGGGAGTAGGGGTACAATTCTCAGAAAGACCTTATCTGCTCATGTTCCAATCATAGTGAACTCACCTCTCTTTCTTTCTTTCTCTTTCTCTCTTTCCCCTTCTCTCTTTCCCCTTCATGCCTCAGTCCTTGCTGTCCTTGTGCTTTCTCTCCATTTTTCAAGATCTCCAATGTCACTTCTTTGTGAAGCTTCTCTGGTACCTGCCTCCCAAAGAGAAAGGATCAATCTTCCCTGGAGCCCGGGACTACCCACCACACACAGAAAGTGTAGCAAATTGCACATGGTAAACTCTGGTTCTTGTAGACCTGCCATCACCGAGGCCAACTGTGAGTTCCCTGGGGACAGAGATCATGTCATATACTTCCTGATTTAAACAGCTCCTGGCACACAAGAGGTCATCACGAAGTGTTTGCTGAATGGAAGCATGAAAATAGAGGGTGACTGCTCTAAAAAGATGATGGCTCCACTCTAAGGAAAAACAGAAAGGAAATGGACAGAAGCTGCATCCTGGGAAACTTCAGTTAGACACAAAGAATTCCCTTGGTGAGAGTGTTAGATACCAGACCAAGTTCCCATGGGAGAGTGTGGAATTTCCTTTAAGGGTCTTGAAAAAGGAATATACTTCTTGTGGGTGGTTCTGATGTGGGTTTGCTTGAAGGCAGGTCTCCAGCCTGGTTTGAAGTTCATAAAACCACCCATAAGTAATTTAGATAACAGAGAAGGGTCTGGGGTCTTGGTCAGCTGGCCATCCAGATGGTTTCTTGCACCAAGTGCTAGCAAGGAGGCTGGGTAAGAATGTGGCTGTGTGTGTCTGAACAGAGGCTGGGAAGTCTCTCCCACAAGCCTGAATCCCGGGACGCAAGTGAATAGAGTAGCTTGCCAAGGACCACAACATCGTCACCGTGTGTTCAAGCACCCACGTCTAATGATCCCATTTCTTTCTTTCAACCGGAAGTGCAGAGGAAGACAGGAAGGAAGGACTGGAGTCAAGAGCAGTGGCCTCCCACCTCCTGTCACATGGTCAGCCCCCCACGGGCCATCTGGCCCCTGCCGCATGCCAGGCCCTGTCCTGATGGAGGTATTAAGAGGGCGACATAAAATGTCAAATATTTGATGACAAATAA